AATTTTTAATTTTTATGGGTACTATTAAACCTTTTTTGGAACATACTACTAGGAAAAAAGCATCATCTAAAATTTGACGGGTTTTGGTGTAGCATAGCCTCATTGTAAAAGAGGGAAAAAAAAAAAGCCTGAGGAGCACTTTTTGTTCTCCCTCCTCAGTCCTGTTGAATGTTGCCCATCTCCCTAGGCTTTGCCCTACCCCAAATCTCCAAGCACTACTCTTCGAACCTTGTGGCCCACACTCCCAAGCCTCATATTAAGTTGTTTTTACCCATCAGGCTCTAAATGTCAACCATATCCTGGGCTGCATCAAAAGAAGCGCGGCCAGGTTGAGGGTATCGATTCTGCCCCTCTATTCCACTCTGGTGAGACCACACATGGAGTCCTGCATCCAGCTCTGGAGCCCTCAGCACAGGAAAGACATGGACCTGTTAGAGAGGGTCCAGAGGAGGGCCACAAAAATGATCTGGGGGGTGGAACACCTCTCCTATGAGGACAGGCTGAGAGAGTTGGGGTTGTTCAGCCTGGAGAAGAGGAGGCTCCAGGGATACCTTATTGCAGCCTTCCAGTACTTAAAGGGGGCTTACATGAAAGATGGGGACAGACTTTTTAGCAGGGCCTGTAGCAATAGGACAAGGGGTGATGGTTTTAAACTAAAACAGGGCAGACTTAGACTAGTAAAGAAGAAATTTTTACAATGAGAGTGGTGAGACACTGGCACAGGTTGCCCAGAGAGGTGGTAGATGCCCCACCCCTGGAAACATTCAAGGTCAGGTTCGACGGGGCTCTGAGCAACCTGCTCTAGCTGAACATGTCCCTGCTCATTGCATGGGTGTTGGACTAGATGACCTTTAAAAGTCCCTTCCAACCCAAACTATTCTGTGATTCTTTGATTGTAAATGTTTACATCAACTTCCATGACAAACTCTGCAACAAAGGTAGTTCCTGAGCCAAAGACTTAGCAGTACCACAAGTGACATCAGAACTTTCTCTCCACCATCCCTTCTTGCCTGAGGACCCTGTGGAAATGCCTTCTGGAAGGCTCATTCCCATCTGAGATGCTCACATTTTGCTGTCGCCTTACCCCATCGCCCCTCTCTGGGGAAGCAAAAGGAAAGCAATGCAGAGATGAAACCTTCCTGAGCCTTCTCTTGAAGTGTTTACTTCCCTTCCCCTCTCATCCTCCCCATCAGTCAATTCATTCTTCTTGTATTTTGCTGGTATTTACATTTTTATCCACATCAGTACTGAACTTTTTTTTTAAAACAGTAATTCTCATCATCTAAAACCAGTGTGTTCCGAACTCATCAAGCTACTGCAGTTTATATAATTTGATTGCCTCAAGTGAATTATTGCAAAAGAAAAAGCTTCCAACATTTTGGATGATCTACTGAGCTTTGTGTCTTCAAGTCTGGCATCTAATGTTCACAGTGTTTATCTGAATATCAAGCCATACTTTAAAAGCTACATAATAGTAGTAGACGAAGCATCACATTAAATTGTTTCTATCCTCATACTGTAGCTAACTTGCTCCATAATAATATGGTTCACAACTTAGAGTTCATTTTAACAAATCCCATAAAAATCCTCTGATGTGCTCAAGTTTCTATCAGATATATGACTTAATGACCAATTCATCGAAAGACATCAACAGAGTAGTTTAAAATCTGCAGTGGAGGTGGATAAATGCAGAAACCCCTATGAGGATATTAGCTGTTTACTACCTTACAGTCCCAAGGGAATGCTGCGTGACACAACGCAAGTCATCTGCACTGCTTTTATTCACTGCAAATGCCAAAACCAGCAGTATTTTTACTTTCAGATACTCAAAAAACATTTACTCAGTAAGTTAATTATAACAAAAGAGAGCAGTTAGGGGCCAGAGGATCTTTCTCCATATACAGCTGCCCTAGATGTAAGCTTATCCACGCTGCAATGATTCCAGCTCAGGGATGGCCGTGTACAGCTGGAATGCAGAGGGTGGCTTCCTGTGTAATCCAGGACTGACCATGAGTGACTGAGGGCCTCCAGGTTTACTTCCTATAATACAGAATGTAATTTATTTTTCAGGCTTTTACAAAAGAACCCCATACAACTGCCCTTCTGCTAACAAAACACAAAAAACAGCTGAATTAGTGCAAAACAGATTACAACAATAGTTCAGGCACTAACGCTTTAATATTCTGAACACTACTGTTTCCCCAAAACAGCATCTTTGTAACTTGTCACATTACCTGGCATGGTACAAGCTTGTCCATACTTCACTGGAATCCAGCATCAAGCCTACTCTGGCCCTTGTTTAGCAGAGTGGCAAGCTGCAAGTATTGAGACTCTCTGGGGCTGGGAGGAAGACTCCTAATCCTATGCCCATAAAGCAGCACTATATGGTTACCACAGTCACTATGTCCCCAGAGTGACCCAGACCCAAAAATCAGAACCCAGGAGTCCTCTACTCTTGGGTGCAACCACTCTCTGCCAGGCCAGAGCCACTATTAATGTGCCTACAGTAGGGTCAAAGATGAAAAGCTTTTAACAGAATATACTGACGGATACTTGACACTGACAGGCAAACGAAGCAGAGATAACTCCCCATGGGTAATCCAATAATGGAAGAAACATGAGTATTTTGTTGGAAGTTAACAAATAATCATCAGCTCCTTTCCCCAAATAAGGTTTCTGTGAATTTACTGAACAAGTCATTCAAATATAATTCTTGACAAGTACTCAGCAGACTGCACAGCCTTGCCATGCTTACAGCAGCCTGAGCTCTTCCCCGGCTGGGGTCAACAAGGAGAGGAAGCACAACTATTCAAACGCTACCAGAGGTACCTTGCTAAGCACAAGGTATATAGCAGCTAGCCTGTGGCTGCCCTGAATTTCTGTGAATGTTCCATAAACAAAGTCAGTCTTGCCTTTAAAGTAGCAAATATAAAGAAATACTTAGTACTAACGCTGAATCTGCACCACTTGGCAGAGGTATAGGGAGCTTGTAGCCCTCACTCTCAGATACGCACTTTGCGAAGTCCCAACTGCAGGAAAGGAGAGCTGCTTGGTGTACCCCACACTCCTATATTCCCCCCCCCAGCCATACACACACACATTGACTATGTGCTCGCTCTGACCCTACTCACATGCTGAGGTTTGCATCAGAAGGAAACCCAGGCACACAGTGCAAAGATGTGTAACTTAACCCACCTCCTACCACTGAAGCAGGACGCAGCCAGAGCTCACATGGGGCCAGGAGTTTGCACTGCAGAGCATTCTTCCCTCGAAAGTAGGTCAGCTTAAACTAACAAAATTCATTCTGCAAAATTATGCATCAGATTTTTGTTTTTTCCAAGACACCGCCAACAGTGTTCCCAGGCCCCAGAGTGTATCTGCTGTTCAAGACTATTTTGTTTTCTTTAAAGGAAACTCTCTGGTTCCTAAAATTGCAATTCTTGTTTCTCCCCTCTCTACCAGTAACCATCTAAGCCTTCCTAGTTGTAACACATTTACCTAGTTAATACAGACTTGTTTTCAGGGAGAGTAGGGTGACGGAATTTTTTCACCCATGAATTAAGAGGATTCTTAACAAGAGCAAAAGTTCATTTGGCAAATAAGAGTTTTGAAACTCAACTCTCCTAGGATCAATTCCCTTCACTTCTGGCTTAAGAGCTGCAGAAAACTGAAAGCATAATCCCTGACATTTCACTGTACTTGCAGGACTAAAATATTTGCCCTGTAGATATGCCAACACTGCAAGTAACTAGGTAGAAGCTAATCACACTATAGATTTCATTGTAATTTAAAAATACCCAGAGCACCTCACTAGTCCATCCACATGGCAGTATAAGTGGGTCCACTTGGTAAATGGTTTCATCTACCTGTCTGTCAGCAGAGAGATGAAAAAGAATATTGATAGCATAACTGGGCAGTTATGTAAATTGGACAACTAAACCGATTCCAAATAATTTCTAACTCTTTTCTTTCCCCACAATAAAATTTATTACTCCTCCCTTTCAGTAAACAGCCTTTGGCAGGCACACAATTTTTTGCAACTGTCACTAGAAAGGTAGTCAAAGGGAAGATAATAGATTTTAGAACTTGGTATTGTAGGGCTTTTTTTTTTTTCTGATTACTAACACTTTTTTATGTTACTGTTTTAAAGCTACTTGTTATGCATAACTCTGCTATTTGTTTCTAACACACTGGTTGTAATTTTGTAAATATTTCTCTATTTGACTTTTTATCTCTTTGTTAGCATAAAAACCCCATAACATTTAACTTCTCCCCATAGCAATAATAAAGAGTTTACAACCTCTCATAGATATCCTGTCAATACAAACTGGATGTAAACAAGTTTTAAAGTGAGTGGCAGTAAGTTCTTTAAGTAAGCTAGCCATTTAAGGAAAATGGCTGTAAATACATTAAAAGTTATCAAAGCTTCTTATGAAAAAATACTTTTATCCAAGAACTAGACCACATAATTAAACAATTCACATGTTAGTTATAAACTAGTTTTAATTAAAGGTAATCTGACTCATTTTAACTAAGTATAAATTTAAAGTCAAACAACATATTTGTATCCATTTTCTACAGTATCTGTCATTTCTCCACAGTGGCTGATGAAACTTGCCAGTGAAAAACGTTTTGAGTAGGCAACCTGTAATACAGCTATGGTTTATTTCTGTCAAAGGCTGACTGCTGAAGTGTGAAAGAAACTCATTAAAAATCTCTCACTGTGATCCTCCATTGCAAGTGAAAAAAGAAAGAAAATACTTAATGAAGGGTACACTTAGCCTGAAGCCACATTCATATTCTGCTTTTCATTTTACACTATTTCAGTAAGCAATTAAAAGACAGCAATTAGTCACAGAAACACTATTCATACTGGTCATATTGGGAGATTAAAGAGGTTAACACTTATTTTATGTTAATATTATGAAAGTAATGAGGGAGATCAAGAATAATACAGCCAACTAAAAAGCAATGCTAAAATAAATAGAAGAATCTCTTACCTTAATCTTAAGACAAGATTCACCGCACATGGAACTTCACTATATTCGTCACTAACAGGAGGCTGAGACTATTAAAGAAAATGCAAAAACTCTTATAATGGATGCCAAAGGAAAAAAAAAATCCCAAAATACTTGCCATGCTAACAGTTTGAAGTTAGCACAGAATATTTTACACATCCTCTAACTCTCAGAAACCTTTTAAACACTTTCAGTAACACAGTCTTAAAATATAGCCGATTCCAGTAAAACTGCCATATTTCAATTGCAGAGATACAAATGATAAGGCCTGCGTAAAGCACTGCATGTAAGAGCTTTTAATCCACCTTCCATCAAAGCTCCAATAACCTAATAAATAATATACACACAGTGAGAATACCAAGCTACTACTCACATTATTTTTGCGTAACAGCTTTGGTTGTTAAGGAAGTCTTGCATCTACCCATCTGCAAAGAACTAGTAGCATATCAAAGTGGGCATCACAGCTCGGAGAATGTCTTTCACAGAGAAAAAATCAGGAACATTTTTCACGCTATCACTCCTCCCTCACACTATGATATCCTCCCCAGCCCTCAACTAACATTTATATGATGTCTCAAGTAAAAGTGTATCCTACGTACAGAGTACCTCAGGGTCCTCTGCCCTATTATGATTTCGTATCCAACCTGGTATGTTGTCACCGCTCAGAGAAGCCTGTTCAAAGGCTACAGTCAAGTCCTCCCAAAATGAAAGACTTGCATCACAAAATTAATTTGATTGTTTTCCAACAGTTTTTCACATTAAAGCTACTTTAAAAAGTTACACAAGATCTGTATTTTATTATCTGTGTATTTTAACAAATATTTTAAACATAAGTTAATGAATATTTGGAAATTTATTTAATCCCTAAAAGGGGACTAGATATTTGTCTACTTCAGTTAAGTCCTTCCATTCATATAAACTATTACTATTATTTCTGCATCTTCAGCAGACCTGTTATTTCAGTGTATAGGAACGTGCAGCCCAAAGACCAACAGGCACACACCAACAGTGACAAGCTGCACTAGGCTCAGTTCCAAGTCAACTTTTGGAGCATTTAGGAAAAGAAAAATCAACAGCAGACTTCAAGCAGAGACTTTTTTCTCCTTCATAAACTAAACAACTCATAATAAGAGTTACCTGTACAAACTAAGTCACAAACTGCAGAACTCTCAATTTCTAAGACATAAAAACCTCTGTCGGGTGAAAGCCCTTTTTCTTTTTTTTCCCCTGTACTCAACTTACATAAGACATCTCAGATGCTGAAGCACTATGTCAACTAGCTCTGCAACGGAAAGACTGGGGTCATCACAGGAGCTAACAGGACCAAACCTGGCAGGAAGCTGTTAGTCTTTCAGAACATTTCTATGACACCAATGAAAATCAGAAAATCTAAAATTGCAGGTGAAGTGGCAAGGGTCATCCACCCAAGGAATAGACATTTTTAAAAGAGCACTTTGGCTGTAAGCCAGTAATCCTATTAAGCAATTATTTATAGCAGCAATGCTTCCCACACTCTCAGCGCAGGGCCATGAAACTCAATATGGTATTTTATTCCTCTCAATTAATCTACTACTATGCCACATTACTGAACTATTTTACTGTATACGGGATGAAGCATTTTAATGACAAACTACATGTCGTGATACAAATCCTAAGCGTGAAAAATTATTTGGAGATCTGGCTACTCAAAAACAGCCATTATTACTCTGACAAAAAGACAGCAATTAGTGTGATCCAGTTATGAAGATTCATTAAAAACAGAGAAATTACCTATCTTAACTAATTCTCCTGGGCACAAACATAACATGACTTTAAATTTCCTATCCATCTTATCCAGTGTGTGCTCACATTAATCGTTACAGGCCCAACTGCATACAGCTCTATCTTCGCAAGTACTTGCCATACAAGGCTGCAGAACAACACTCCCACCTCAATTCACATTTTTAACAACAGAAATGAAAAAGAAAACCCTTCACTCAAACACTTGGAAGAAAAAAAAAATTGATAAAGACATTTTTACCTCTGTGTTCTCCTCCTCTTTTACTCTTCGTGACTGGAAAACAAATGAAGTGAGATATGAGCTATGCAACTTTATACATTAAAGATCCAGAAATACTAACAATTAACATTAAGACAGAACTACCTTGCAGAGTACAAATGTCTTGGCATAAACAAAAGTTACCTTTTCCTGAGAAACAGCAGCTTTGCCTTCCTCGCTCTTCTCATCCATTTCATCATCACTCCATTCCCAGTCCCCATCTTCTGTTTTATGAAGGTGACCACTGGAACCTGGTACTCGTCTGACCTACCATTACAGAGACAACTTTAGTCTTTATTGGTGCTCTGGTTAATGAGCAATTCTTCGTTATTTTTATCTATATGCTTTCATTAGTTTGCTGGAGGAGTTACTGGCATACTGGAATAATATCTGACCTCAGAGGTCATCCTTGAGCCAGTGGGAACAGCTAACCTATGCAAAATTCATATAGGCAAACGGAGTTTGAACGTATTTTACAACCGCTTGTTCTTGGGACACAAGTAAAAAACTTCAATTTTTCTGCTAAAAAGCTTTAAAATGAGTAAAGGTGTTAAGGATACTTTAAAAGTAAAATTATCCTTATTTCAAAAAAACACCAGGTATGTGCAGACTGAGAAGGTAGGCAAACATGCATCCCACCAAACTCAGGTAGATCAAACAGTCTAACAAGGCTTAATAGGAGTATTCAGCAGCTACATCTGAAAATTACATACTCTTCTAGTGCCACCTCACTCTTTTTCACAGTCTGACAACACACTGGTTTTTCCTGGATCGTGTTCAGCTTATCTGAGCAAAACAAAAGAACACCCAACAATTCTTCCCACACCTTGGTACGCATTTATGAGACCTATGAGATGGCTGGAAGCACAGCACAATAAGCAGCAGCCCCACTGGTGTTCAGATTAGAATTGCTTTCCCTTATTATTTCACATTACTGAACCAAGATACAGTTCCTGCTGCACAACTTCAAATGTTTGTACAGGTAAGCTCCCCAGCTTAAAGCTTAAAGCATATTCTTTTGAATTATAAAAAAGGAGAAAAGTTATTGAGGAAAACAGCCTATATACATTGGTAACAGAATGAAAGGAACAGAGAGCATTAAGTGTTCACAGCACACAAAAGAGAGAACTAACTTGGCAGAAAAGCAGTTTCAGGCCAAGACCAACTGTTGGAGAAGACATCTAATAAAATAACTTAAAAAAAAAAAAATTATGAACCAGATGGCCTTAGCTCGAAATGGTATATCCTGTTTGCCAGTATCTGCAGTAACATACAACAGCCTGGTTCAACTTTGGTTTCACAGATCCCCGATTGTGCTGTTTTGCACTGAAGTATACTGAGCACTGATTAACTTCGTTCTACCACCCTGATGGTTGGTGGCAGTGATGGAAACCCACTCTGCCAGCACAGCTACCTCACAAAACAGGAAGCTTAAAAAAAAGAAAAAAAGAAAAAAAGACCTGATGTCTGACTAGAAAAATTACTGGTTTGTCAACATAATGTTGAAGTAGTAGTAGTACTGTAGTAACTGGTAGTAACCTTGTTCTAAACTCCTCCCAGTTGCTTTAAATCACAATGCGGGGAGAGATGCAGCACATGACAGATTCCAGCTGCTTTTAAATCCCATCAGGTAGTACTTCAGCAAAGAATGTGTGGCATGAAAATAGGACACTGGAAATCTGAGCTCATGAGCTTCTTGAAAGCTGTGCGATGCAGATATTAATACAATTTTTACAAGGTGGCTTCTCATAGAGAGCTGAGCACTTCAGCTATTTCTGTTCTGGATTTGGACCAAGCACAATTTGGAGCTAGTTGGCCTGACATCACAACAGCAGGAGCGAGTATGAGCTTAGCAGCCTTCTTCCAAAACCTTAACAAAGCAGTTATCTTGGTGTCTGTCTGCACTCTATCCCTCTTGCCTCCCCAAACACCCATCTGCTCCTCTCCTTTCCCTTTTGCACGTGTAAGACTAAACCAGAGGAAAGGGTGAAGTTTCCAGAACCTCAGCACATTTCTGTACCTTACTCAGTCCTTACGATATTCCTCCCTTACATTTCTTCCCTGCACCCCCAAATAAGAGTGCTCTGCTCAGTTTCTCCATATTTTGTACTCCTTTGAAACTGAGAAGAGGGGAAACCTATGCAGGACACCAGGGGAATATCCTACTCCATCACTTGCTTGACAAATTCTGCACTAGTTTCCCTGTTTCCCCTACCAGGCGCCTAATGCACCAATTTTAGCTCTAGCTGCCTCAAAGCTTGGTGCAAGAAGCTCATGTGTGTTTGGGAGGGAGGACCCAGCAAAAGTCAACAGCAGTAGTAGTACAGCAATTTCTTACTCGGTTGCAATCAACCCAGGCACAATCAGTGGGCTCTGACTGTCTACATCATCAGGGATGAGCAAGATACAAGGTAATCGAGCAGGCAATTTGCCTGGTGCTTGTGGATATAATTTAATGTTCTTCAAGGAACAGTCCTGACGCAGGCTTTTGTTTAACAGCACAAGCATTTTAGCGACAGCTATACATGAACCTATGAGAGGGCATCAACCACAACCAAACCATGCCTTTTTCAAACAGAATAAAATAGGTTTACAGACACATTCACACACTACATCGTGCACTAATCAAAATCTTTTCTGCGTCCGTTTTCAGTTGTTCTGAAGACTTATTCGAACTAGAACGATTTTAATGGAGCTTAATGAAGCTGGCAGAGAGTTATGGGAGAAGGCTTTACTGATGAAGATGGAGTGCATTTCAAGTTTTTAAATAGATTGCCTTTTAATAAGCAATAAACAAATGGCTCAAGGAAAAGAAAATAAGTTACTGCAAAATAAAATACCGTGTTAAATTAAATTATTTTCTTGAAAGGTGTTTGAAGGCAGAAAAACAAAAGTTTAGACTTGTACTCTGCTTCAATCAGACTGATTACCACCAGCACACATATTCACAGGAAAGAAATCATAGTTTCAGCTATAGCCAAGTACCCAACCTATTCAGCCTTCAACAATGTGAAGTTGTTTATGACTTTTTTTGTTGGTGGGTATGTTTAACACTCGCATTACTTAGCAAATGAATCTGCAGAATTTTTGATTAACGGTCACTTTTGCTCACGCTCAGTTCTGGTTAAAGCCACAAAGACTCGGTCACATAGGGAGGGCATGTACCCGAGGTGTGGGATGGCACAAGAGCAGTGCACCATGCCTGCAAATAAATTAATTGTCTCTTCATTCATCATAAACCTGTAGAACTCTAACATCACATATTGATGGAAATATATTAGCTTAAATTTCTGTTGTAATAGAAACTTAAAACAGGCTTGATACTAGTATAGTGCTGCTTCTCTTGAGGTTTTTCTAGTTTCTTTTCCAGACCACATTCACTGAAATGCATATCGGTAGTAACACATGTGAAGTATTTTAGGAGACAGCTAGCATTTTACCATATTCAACTTAGGTTAATAAAAAGCAAAAATACACTACAAGTAGTAAAGGAATAAAACCTACATTATACAACTAAAGCCTTTTAGGCTTTGGATTTGGCACAGCCAGAGGACCACTTTAAAGGGCTAAGATAAGACAACTGAGACAATCTACTACTTTGCTTCCATGGGAAGAGACAATCCTGAGATGTCCAGCAGGGCTGCACCCAGACCTACCTGGCTGTACAGTGAGCAGGTTCAACCCACAGGCCTGGGAAAAAAAAAAACAAACTAGTCTTTTGCAAGACTTGTGATCTAAATCAGCCCATCTTAAGGTCAAACCGCAAAGACTGTAAGCAAAGAGGCAGAAACAAAAGCGGCAGTGAGAGGGACATTGGATCATCTTGTTTTGGCAGCAGCAATCCCTCAGGATCCTCAAAATGACATTCTCTAAAATGCTTACAATGCAGCATCATGACTGGAGTGCACGATCTGCCACACCCAAGTCTCCTCAAGCTTTCATTTGTGCTACTACAGCTGTGCAGACAACCCCATTGAAGAATTAAAATGGAACACGGTTAGCTTGCAGCCAAATCAGATTTTTAATTTAGCTGGCCATGAGCTAGCACAAGCCCTAGAGCCTGCACAAGAGGAGGAGCTGCAATATCATTTTCAGTAGTTGCCCAAATCATCTGTGGTAAGAAATCACCGTACATTCCCAAAAAGTGATACAGACTTAAATATGAACAGGGAGCAAATAGATCCAGACACAGCATACATTCGTCTCCATTCCCCTTCATGAGCATGCTAGTTTAAGTTCTTTAAATCTGTAACACAATCTTTTGTCATTCCTTCTTCTTTTATTCAGCCCAAATACTAGGCTTTCAGTATTAGGCTCAGTATTTTTAATTTCCTTCCTACATGCAAACACTATAAACATATTGTTGGCTTTTCAGCATAAAAAAACCCCAACTTTTCAAAAGTATCTTTGCAGCTTTTTAATCATGAATTAATATCTGCAATCAACATTACACATCAGCACACATTTTCCTAGGAGGGGAAAAAAGTCCAACTACCTGCTTCCAGCACTTTTTTTATATGCTACTTTCTCATATAAAAATCTTTTTTCTTAATGAAAAAACAGAATAGAATAATGCTGTTATTTTATGTTCTGAAACAGAAATGATAGCATAGAAGAACATTTTGTAGTCTGGATACACAGTTCATTGCTATCAAATATTTAACTAGAAAAGGATAACTTTACTTCAGGAAAAACTAATTTGGTATTTTGTCCTATCAATATATTGTTTGTACTTTCAGAAGGGATGCATCTAGGATAAGCATCTAAGCATTGTAATGACAGTGGCAGAGTTCGGAGATGACAGTAGCACCACGTTAGATATGAATCAGCTGTAGGGGTCATCACCCATTGCAATGTCCATACAGTTTATTAGACTATGATAATCTGTAAGAGTTTAAGAACAGTCATAATCAATCCAAGCAATAAACTCCAGCATTGACCAGTTGTATCTTAGCTTTGAAAAGAAGAAGTAAGTGTGAAGGCAACCCTTTGGCACTTTATGTATTCCCCCAATTTCTAGTAATCCTCTTTTCATATTATGTTTGCTTTTTAAATAACGTTTAAAATCCTAAGACCTTTTAACAACCGTGGGATAAAATTAAAGCAATTTTGTCCCTTAAAGAAACCGGTTCTTCTTAAACACTTGTCTTTGGACATGAAACATTGGCCTTTTTTGTGCTACCCCAAGTACTAGTTTGCTAGGATGCAGTGCATCACATTTTTATAAAGGTATGCCAGGGCGCTACACTAAAATCTTCACGAGATTT